CCTGGCTCCCAGGTCATAGTAATCCGTTTTTAATCTTTCTCAATCCATATTCAAGTAGCTCTAAGTGAAAGTAACATAGAAAAGCCATTATGCAGATATACCCATTAAGAGTCACCTTTCTTTAAAGGCCGTGTACATGTGTATTGGAGGGGGAGGGGTTCAAAATGCTTGTTTAAATCGTCTGATCTTACAGTTCTTTTTATAATTAATGTCAGAACTCTTGTTTTTACTCATATTATAACTCAGCATCTCAAGATCTGAAATTCTGTGCTAGTACAGTTCTGTCTTTACCATGATATTTACAGAGTAGCTATTATATGTAAGTCCCTGTGTTTATAGAATTTGTACTTGTAATACTCAAACCATAAACAGTAATCCTGGGATATAAAAATGTTTATTTATCCAAATAATTATGAAAGATATCCAGGTGTATAACAGTCCTGAGGCAATTACTTATTTTGTAAACTTCAGTTATTTGGATCTGAGAAATTTTAGGGAATTTTAGCTTAGAATATTTCAAGAAGTTTTTTAACTCAATAATTTAGGAAAATTCCAGTAAAAAACGAATTATTTGAGAAGATAAAACAATTTTAAGGAAAATTACATATAAACTTGCTTAACTGACAACTTGTTTCATAATCATATTAATTGATGACACTAACCTGATAAACAGGCTTGCTTTCTTCAGTTAACAGTTCTGCTTTTCAAAATATTGGCTATTCTTCAGTCATGCGTTCACAGAGTTACGTACTTGGTTAACCTAGAGCATGAACTGCTATTTTCTGATTAGAGTAAAACCTTAGTTTGCGAGAATAATTTGTTCTGGAAACATGTTTATAATCCAAAGCACTCATATACCACAGTGAATTTCAAGAACCATTGACTCAATTGTGGTCATGTAACATTCAGCATCATCAACTACTTGTATTGCAAGACGTCGCTCGTTTATCAAGTTAAAATTTATTAGAAATGTTTGCTCATCTTGGGAACACTTGCATAACAAGTTACTTGCAATTCAAGGTTTTAGTTTTCTCTTTTGAGTTTATTGTTATTCTCAGAGGTTCTTAACTTCCTTTGAAGGCTCTTCCTTCTCTTCTATCACCCTGCAATATTAAATATTTTACCAGTTTCTTTTTTCTCTCTCAGTATTCTTGAGAGATTCATCCACTCACATGTTTTGCTTATCACATATGTGTTAATGACAGAACATGTACACTAATCACTCTCAAAACTACATCTCCAGACTAGATCTCTTTTCTTTAAATTAAAAAAAAAAATTTAAATTTATTTTTGAAACAGAGAGAGACAGAGCATGGGGAGGGGAGGGGGAGAGAGAGGGAGACACAGAATCTGAAGCAGGCTCCAGGCTCTGAGCTGTCAGCACAGAGCCTGACGTGGGGCTCGAACTCACGGACTGTGAGATCATGAACTGAGCTGAAGTCAGACGCTTAACCGACTGAGCCACCCAGGCACTCCAGATCGCTTTTTGATATCTAAATCCTTAGTATTTTCCACATATCTTTACAGGAATATCCCACAGACATTTCAAAAAGGACTATGCACAAAACTCTACTCATGGTCTTTCCCCAAACCTCCATTTCTCCTCCATTTCTTAATTTGGTGAATTCCTCCTAACAGTCATTTTCAACTCTAAGGCTTCACATTCACTCATACCTGAGGCTTAAAATAGATTTCCTTAGGCACTTCTATATTTCAAATGTTATTCTTTTTTGGGACTCTAATTTACTTTTGTTTGGACCATTGCAATATTCACCTAACTGGTCTTCTTGCTCTTAATGGCTGAAGATACCACAGTGCTGCTAAGTTGGTCTTTACTAAATAAAAACCATCTCATGTTATTCATCTATTTTAAATCCTTCAGTGATTTCCTGTTTTCTATTGGATAAATTTCAAACTGTTTCTATAATGCCTTGGCTTATTAATTTATTTTTAATAAAGCAGGCATTTTCTATGTTTAGGCACTGTCCTAGATTCTGGGGACATAGAAATGAACAAATCATGAATCTGACCGTTACTTACATCTCTAGACTTCCTTTTCCTGCATTTTTCGCTCCAGCCATGCTGAAATCTCTGCTATCCCTGAAAAGCAACATGATCTGCAAAATGTCTGTGGTCACATGCTTCTTCTTCATGTGATATTTTTCTCATTCACAGATCCATCTACCTACTCAACCTCTAATTATATTCTAAGACTTGGATTAACTAATACCTTCTCCAGAAAATAAAAAAGGGCTGATAAGTTGCAAAAAAAAAAAAAAAGTGGTGGAAGAATCACGGAGCTCTCAGATTAGTAGAATGGATAACTCCATCTTCTATGTTTCTCTAGTATTATGAACTTTCCTCTATTGTGGCACCATGTTTCAGGACAAAACACCATTCCAAAGATATTTATAGAATTAAGTTTATGACATGAAATCATGCAGTTATAGTAGGAAAAAGCAGAATCATGGCATGTCTTGATTACCAAGAGAATCATTCATTTAGGTACCAGAAAAGCTCTCCTTAATGTGTACCAAAGCCAAGAACACAGTGTGCAGAGAGTACACTAACAGAACATCTCTGTGGCCCTTCCAGATTTGTATCAACAACTGAGCATATTCACATTAATAAAAGCCATGTAGTAAAGGCTAATATAAAAATGACTTAGCTTTGAGTGTGCATTCTTAATTGAATTATATACTTTTTTATTATTGTGCACTTTCACATCTCTAGTGTAATGTCATTTTGGTCTTCAGATGACTGATCACAGCTAGGCTTCTGTACTTGTGGTTCACCTTGTGAGACTTCATTGCTTCCTCTGTACTCCACACACCTGCAACACTTTCTTCATCTTATTTGTTCACATATGAATCTATCTTCTACTCTTAAGCTTTTCACTCTTTTTAGGCAAAGACAATATCTTGTTTGTTTATGTGATTATGACACTTAGAAAAAGTCTTAAAAATACACAGAGCTTAAAGTGTTATGTTGAATAAATGACAAGTCATCTGTGAATATTTATTAAGCATTCATTATATGGCAGTCTCTGTATTAGGTTCTAGGGATACAACAGTAAAGAAAAACAAAGTTCATGCCCTCATGGGTATTAACACTCCAGTTTTTAAAGAATAAAGTGGGAAGTTTGCAAATTTGCAAAACAGAAGCTTTGCTACTGCTACTCTTTCAGTATCTTGTAAACTGCCCTAGATCACCCCTTGAAAAATTTATGTTTTTATTACTTTAATGTAGGATTGGTTTTGCTTATTTACATGCTACTCCATTTGTGATCTTCCTATGGTTATTGTCTCATTGAGAAGCCTTTTGGTTCAGGGCTCCTGAGTGGCTAAGTTGGTTAAGCATCTGACTTCAGCTCAGGTGATGATCTCATGGTTGGTGGGTTCGAGTGCTGCATTGGACTCTGTGCTGACAGCTCAGAGACTGGAGCCTGCTGTGGATTTTGTGTCTCCCTCTTTCTGCCCCTCCCCTGCTTGTGTTCTGCCTCTCTCTCTCTCTCTCTCTCTCTCTCTCTCTCAAAAATAAATAAATATTAAGAAAAAAAAGAGAAGCCTCTTGGTTCTTCATAAACAGGGCCACTGTTTATTGCTGTGTACATTGTGCACTTCACATTCACAAAGACTGTGTTGTGATTGGCACTCTTGAAGTTGTACAAATCAACATTTAAGCTTAAGCAGACTATCAGAATCACCAGGAGAACTTCAAGTTACAGATCTCTTGACCCCATCTCTTAAAAATCTGATTTGGTATATCTGGAATATAACCTGATACGTGATGTATTTTAAAGCCATACCCCCTTCCCTCTATCCTTTCAATCCCTCCATTCCCATCTCATGATTTTGATGACCCACTGTGTCTGGAAACCTCTACTTTAAGCGGCTGATGGTCAGCTTTATGGGGACTCCCTAGAAGATCACTGTAACAATTCTGGCTATATTGTGTAATGCTCACTCTATTTCAAGCCTAAAATGCCTCTAGTATGAATTTAAATTAGCTTTGATCTCCATACATCTACCCAAGATAGACTACTCAAAAACAACTTTAACACATTTTTATGCCCCAGTCTCCATATTTAGTCATGAAGCCATTGATTTGGCCACCATCATGAATTTCAAATTCTCCTTTTATCTCATTTCTCATAGCCCCTGCCCTAGTTAATTCTGATTTGTGCCTTTCCAAAACTCTTCCAATTATTTCTTAACAGTTCTCTCTGCTCTACTCCCAGGACATCTCTAATCCAGTTCCTACATTTCCTCATGAGTGATTTATCTAAAAAATAAACCTCATCGCCACCCCCAAGCTTAAAAATATTAATTGGTTCCCCATTGTCTATAGCATTAAGTCTAAACTCTCTGACATGAAATCTAAGGTCAGTCTCAATCTAGTTGAATCTCTTTTTCTATTATGTCTCTAAATATTATATTTACCCTCTATTTGGTCTAGTGAAAGCTATTAGCTGTTCCCTAAATACATTATGCATTCTCCTCATTCTTTGTTTATGTTATTTCCTCTGCCTGAATGCCACCTTCTGTTTTACATTTTCCCCTCATCCATCAAGGGACAATTAAAATGTTACTTCCACTTCTTGGCTCCACTGTGCCTTTTCTTGTATTTTTTTTTTTTTTGTAGATTCATATAGAACTTGATGGCATGGGCACATGCTCATAATTTAAGTGTTAAAATAAAAAAAAATATCCAAAGCTATAATTACTATACTAATCTAATTTTATAATAATTTTACACATACCCACAAATATAGATACCCAGTGTGGTGGACTGTGATGTGACAATTTGGCTTAACTGGGAACTATGTGGTTCTAGTTTAGTATTTGACAAAGAGGAATTTAAGCAAATTTGGAAAGCAGAAATGAAGTAGCAGTCATCCTGCTCTGAAATTCTTTTTTGAGGTCATATGCAGTGATGGGCAGGCACAGATTGCTTGGCCATTTCCAGTTTGTCCTCATTCTCCTCTGCTTTTCTTCTAGGTCTTCTGATAACGGACATTTGTTTGTGAACCTACTACAAACAGGTAATGAATTTATTACCTCCCATTATGGAACTTTAACTCCATAACATTCTCCCTGTCTTATTTCACTCATATTGACTATGTTCCAAAAGTGACCTTGACTAACACATACAAGAAGAGAGAGAGGGAGGAAGATGGGAAGGGGATGCGGAAGCAGCTCTGAAGAGTATATATACAAGAATGCTAAATGTGTATCTCTCAAAAAAGGCAACAGACGCATTAATTCAAAAGTGACTTTGTGACCCAGGTTGATCTAGTCTTATAATTCACAAGACTTCTGTTTCCCATTAGGCAGTCTATATGTGACTCTTTGTTTTTGATTACCAAAAGGAGAGTACTTCCACCAGAGGACCACCAATGATTCCTCTTAATGGGAAGTTCAGTCTGCTTTCTGGCCAGTTTGGGATCTTCCAGAGTCAGCATGAATAGTCAGAAAGGAGATCACTGCGGGTGGAGGTGATTGACTATGATCATCAAAAAATTGTACAGTGAGACAGAGAAGAGAAATAAGATGTGAGCCAAAGTGATCTTCAGTGTACCTTATTGTGCCACACTCACCTACAGAGTCAAGACTGTTCAATGTCTGCAACCCTCATCAATTAAAGTTTGAGTCACTCACCAAGAAGAGCCCCCACCCCACTGAGATGCTAACTGAAGAGAAGGGAACAGATGCATGGAAAAGGATGTGGTGAAGTCAAGACATGGACAGACCCTCAAGATCAGTTGTGGAAATAATGACTTCAGCCACTACCCACTTTCATTTTATTTTCAATGCACTTTTCCCCTTGTTTCCCATGGTCTTATATCAGGTGTATTGATGATTATTTCTACAATGTAGCCAGAAAATAGGTTACAAAATTTGAGATAGTATCATGAAATCTAAAGAGAAATGGACATCTAGTCCAGAGCTAGTCCAGAGACAGTCCAGAGAGTCTGAGCACTGAGATGTACAAATGATCTGATTAGATATTGGGTTTTGTCTCTTTGGAGATATGAAATATTAAACATTTAGAAGCTCGCATCAAAGTAAGACTGTTTCTCCAAATTAAATGTTTATAATTCGAATAGGAAAAAAGCATTTAATGGAATATAAAAGAAATGTTTCAACTTTTCTCTTAAAAAAAAATCTCGTTACAGATTTACAGTTCCATTTAGGTTTCTTTTAATGTAATCTTTAAAGAATATTTTCATAGCCTTCTAGTATTTGTGACTATTGGCAATACCACCGTTCTCAACTCTCTCTCAATACTTACCACATAAGCATTGTCTTGGTATTTTTAATTATTTTTCTAGTCTACTGGCAACTTAAAACCCTCTCCCCTCATTGGCAGCAGATACTGGATTAAAGTTCTTCAGGTAGAAAAACTGCTTTCATTTGTGTCACTCCCCAGTGCTGAAGACTCTAAGACGTCTCCTACTCTTGCTGCAGAGATGGTTGGAGTTGTTTTAGTGGCTTCAGTCTTAGGGTAGATGACACATCCTTCAGCAGAGAGACCAAGCCCTGGGTTCTGTGAAGGAAGGAAATAAGACATACAAACTAAGATTAAGTCTTGTGAAAACTGCTTTCCTGAACAAAGAATTATTTTATTTTTAAAGTTTATTTATTTATTTTGAGAGAAAGAGAAAGCGAGAACACACAAGCATGGGGAGGGGCAGAGAGAGAGGGAGAGAGAGAACTCCAAGCAGGCTCCGCACCATTAGCCTGCCCCAATAAGGGGCCCAAACTCATGAAACTTGAGATCATGACCTGAGCTGAAATCAAGTCAGATGCTTAACTGACTGAGCCAGTCAGGTGTCCCAAAGAATTGTTTTGAAAGAAGTAGTAGTTGAAAACCCTTTAGGGCAGTATCTTATCTGACATAAAGAGAGGGAGACAGTGTGGCCCACCCAGAAATGGAAGACCACAATCTCAAAACTAAATCTGACCATGTCTTTTATTTCTTCAAAATCAAACATTATTAATATGTACCAAACCATAAAAGTGTGTGTGCTTCAGGAAGATGAGATACTCCCTATGCTTATGTAACATCTGCACTTCACAGTCTCAGCAGCAAGCACCGCTCTGACTTTGAAGTCTGGAACTTGGAAAATGTGCAGTCATTTGATACTACCACCTTCTTTTCTGAATCTGCCAAGCAGTTTCTTCCTAAAGGTAGGTGCATCATATATACATTGAAACAGTTTTTTAAAAGTGAAGTTAGGACAAGAGTCAATTAGAGGTTTCTGCTTTTGATTTTTATTTCAAATGCTTATTCCTATTTCTGACCCTTGTTCTTTACTTTTTACTTACCTTTAGGGAAAAATGAGCGTGGGAGTTAAAATTGAAATTGCACTAGTAAAGTCACTTGGACCTTAGAGCTTGAAAGGGATATTGGCATTTAGTGACATTGACTTTGGACTTATCTGTCTCTGTTCCCTTTTATTCATTTTTGGAAGTGCTCAATCTTTTTTGAGGCTTTTCCTTGAAAAACTCTCTCCTGCTTCCCCTATTCACTTATCCCATCCCCAAGTATAAACACAAAACTCCACCATATTAGACCTATCCTTGACCATGAAAATGACTTTTGAAACATTTTCACGATTCCTGAGTATTAGCAGAGGTTTACTTGAGCCCTGAAAAGTGGCATTGGCTGTGACTGCTCTCAAGTATAGATCTGATTATTTTCAGTCATTAAAACAAAATTCTTCTAGGCAAGGGCAGATTCTCTTTCAAATCCTACCTGCTGTGCAAGCATGACAAAAGATTGAACGGATGGGAATGCACTGAAGCAGTCCAAATTCATCCTTTGACCTCTGAGCTCAACTGGCTGTCATGCACAAATTTGATTTTTGCTAGAAAGATCCATTTTTCCATCCCTCAAAGGAAAAAACTAATGAGACTGAATGAGTTGAGGAATTATTTCTTGAACGATTTTTCACAAGTGATGTATAGCAAATCTAGAAGTTTTCTTTTCAATACATATTTTTGTTGGGCAATTTGGGGACTGAGGACAAACCATAGAACTTTTCCTGCTTTAGAAAATAAAATACATGTTATAGAACCCAACCACATGGGCAGCATGGTATAGTGGAAAGTGTCTTAAACTCTTGAGTTTGAAGACGTAGCCTAAAATCCTAGAATGCTGACTGTACCACTTCATAGACGTGTCATCTTTTTCTCAGCTTGTTTCCTCTTTTTACCCTAAGAAGGTATAAGCATCCATCCTGCCCAGTCTCTCTCCACACAGGAATTTTCCTGAAAAGGGAAGTGATTTATTCAGCCACAAAGGGTTAAGCACAAATGAGTGAGGCTCTTACTTTATTCTAATGAATTTTAATTGAGTTAAACATTACAGCATGCACATATGAAATTTGTACAAGTTGTCATACAATATTTGCTTAAATTCCATAACGAGGAAATTTATTTGCAAGGTAAAATTGTAAAAAAGGGACAAGTCTGAGCTCAATAAATGGGGGAAGACTTCATGAAAGAACAGGACTTAGTCTGTGTTTTTAATTCTTGGTAAAATTTTCTGAGGTGAGAGTAGAGGCCATTGTGAGATGATGAAAACTATACTGACATTGAGGTAAACACTGGTTTGAAAACAACTCTTCCATTTGCTAGCTATACAGAAAAGTCATTTAAAACTATTTGATATTCAATGTTCTCATTTATCAAAAGAAGAAAAGATAACTACCTCACAAAATAATTGAGAGTATTTAACAAGATGATGCATACAGAAGAGGCTAGTGCTGTGCCTGGCACATATCAGGTACTCAATGCTTTGTTCAATTCAGGAGGAGGCAAACATAGAAGGAAAGACATGACAGTGGTAACAAGCATATCATACTTAGAGAAGAGTACAGAAGCTAGACTGGCTCAAGAAGAAGAATCATCACTTGAGACAGTGAGCTATAGTGAGAAGACATTTTCTTTTGCATCATAGAGACCCAATATGACCTGCCTAAACTGATGCTCATGTCTTTGTGGAGTTGCCAATGGAATCTAAGTTTCTCAATTTTTCTACCTAATTTTGAATCCTTAGTTTCTTATCTGTTGAATTCACTTGAGCTGTTTGTGGTGATGCCAGCATAATGCCAGACCAACAGATCAATCCAGCCAAAAAATTGATCAAGACAGAGAAGAAAAAATACAAGTGGCGATTGATTATGGGTTGTTGAATGAATAGATAGGTGAATTCAGTAAGAGTGTTTGATATATTAAAGGCATACATTGGTTCAGTATACATTTCTTTTTATTTTGAGATCACGTATTAATTAGCTTTGCTAAACCATGCTGCGGTGACAAATCTCTAGACTTAACAATAGTATTTATTTCCCACTCATATCTATCCACTGCATTTTTATTTCAGTTCACTTTATTTGTGTTCTAAATCTGGGGCCCAAGTTGTGGAAGCAGTCTGGTGGCAGAAAGGCAAAGAGTTAAGGCCATTCAATACAATTGCCCTTCATGTTCTACTAACAGGGGTGTTTTGGGCACTTCTGCCTACATTGCACAGGCCAGAGAAAGTCATGTGGAGCAGGGACATACACTTCTGCCACAAGGGGACACTTCAAGTCAATGGAGCGTGAAGTATGATCCTCCTACAAAGAAGAAAATGAACAATCAGGACCAAAAATGCAATCTAGACAGACCACAAATTTCTAAATTAAGGTTCTTTAAGAATTAACCTACAATTATTTTGCCCCCATTCTGAAATGGAAAATAGATAGCCAAAAGCCAGCATGCTATTTGTACTTTGCTCAGGCCACCTTTATTTCACAGATGTACAAAATTGCAATTACCTTTCTTACCTGCTTGCCCTTCTATGGGGCACATCAGAGGCTAATGTCCATTCCTAGTCCATCTTTCAGTCAGACAAGGGGGCAGGCATGTGCTCATTCCCTGAGATTGCATCTTGGATATGCATATTATTGTTCAGAAAATTGAGTGGGCTTCACAGAATCCAGATTTATTGGTAAATTCTAGATGCTTCACTTAATATATTTTAGAATGCATTGTGGCATGCATTGTAGTGGCCATGTATTTAAAGAATTGACTCAAGTAAGATGCAAAGAGTGTAATGGGTAAATCAGTAAGTGTCCAGGGGCTTTGGAAAGTGTGACTCTCATTATTTCCTGAGCAATGAGTGAGCTAGGTTTGTTTTTATTTTCACATATCCTTTTGAGCAGTCTCCATCTGTAGCTAATGTTATAAAGCCAGTGTCTGAGACATCTTTGTTTTTATTGAGGCAATATATCTGAGTCCTCTCTTTATCTTAAGTAATCCAGTACCCCTGAAAGATGATGCTGGGACTCTGAAAGAAAAAAAAATCTGATAAGATAACAGCTTACAATGACATTTATATAATTGCCCCAGTCAGAACTCATTTCTGGCTGCTTATGTGAAAGCTTACTTCACTGTTGTAGCTAGGAAACAGGGGAAGCAAATAGCTGCTTCTCTTTGGCTCCCACTTTCTGAACTACTTATGCATAAAGGAAAGCTTTTCATCCAGGAATCCTGTACTTAAAATCATACATAGATTTGCCTCCTAAAATCCCAATTTTCTTTGAAACATAATTAGAAGCACCTGTCATTGAGACCAAATTGTCTTTATTTATACCCAACAAGTTTCTCTATAACCAGTAAAACCCCTCATACATTTCTCCTTCCAATTTGTGTATTATAGAGGTCCTCAAACATTTTGACTGAATTTTTAATTTCGAGTCAGTTGGGTTCACACTAGAATGGTAGATGACATGTCCCTCACTAGAGCTAGCAGGAATTTTCTGCAATTTGCAGGACTTATCTAGAAGCGGTTGCCATGAATCCCCATCTGAAGATTTGAGGCAGCTTTTCCTTGTTCCATTCTCCAATCTACACTCTCTATGTTCTTATTCCAGGGACCTCAAGACTCTATAGAAATTGAGAGTCTGCCTCAATGCTCTATCTTTGAACTAGAAAGACCCATCTATACATTATGTGAGAGATGACCAGTAAGGAGGAAAAAGATCCGCCCAAAACTGTCTCTAATATTCTACCTAGTTCAGTCTGATTTTGTTCACTGTAAAGTTTAATTTTATTTCAAAGTTTTGTTTGTCTTCTTATCCCCTGAATATTGTTTGTTTCCATGACTCCTGCTGGAATTGAGGTCTATTTACCTCTGGTTTTCACTTCCTAGAAGCCTTGGGGAAGCCATACTTATTCTAGACTCTGAGAAACACACCCTAGCACCAATCCACATGGTATTTGACCAGTAGCCTAGTTAGGTCAACTGAAAGCAAGACTAGATAATATCATTCCTTAAAAAGTTGAGGTCTTGAAGAAAAAAAACCTCACTTGCTTTCATTCATTTGGTCTTCATTGTGTCACATTAAGGTCAGCCAAGCAGTGAATTACTCAGGATAATCTTGCAACCTCTGTGTGACTTGGACAAAGTTAGCTTTAAGGAGTTTTCACTGTACTTTGGAAAAATATAATATTTGGGGGAGGGTCATCTAACATGGTCAGACAAAGGACACATACTGGTAACTTAGTTCCTCCATGAAATATTTTTCACTGTGATGAATGAGATCCCAGAGAACAAAGACTGTCTTACTCATTTATAGTCACAAACTATAAAACACTTTCTGGACTACAGTGAGTATTTAATAAATGCCTATGATATGAATAATGGATAAATGAATAAATTCAAAAAGAATACATTATTATACATTACTATAATACCACCAATATTTATCATTTATTATTATTATTTTTTTTAAACTGAGTTGAATCCTCAGCAGCTTTTTTTTTTTAAGTTTATTTATTTTTGAGACAGAGAGAGACAGAGCATGAATGGGGGAGGGGCAGAGAGAGAGGGAGACACAGAATTTGAAGCAGGCTCCAGGCTCTGAGCCATCAGCTCAGAGCCCGACGCGGGGCTGGAACTCACGGACCACGAGATCGTGACGTGAGCTGAAGTCGGATGCTTAACTGACTGAGCCACCCTGGCACCCCTATCATTTATTATTTACTAAGCTAACAAACTGTGAAAATAATGAAATCCATTATTCTTCATGGAATTGAATATTTTCAACCACCTTACAAGATGAGAACTATTTTATCTTCATTGTGTCACCAATAAAAATAGAGATTTTTTATTTGCTTGTGTGAATCTTATTACAGGGCCT